ATTAAGGCAAATATAAATATTGTCCACCAAGCACTGCTCAAACCGTGTGTGTCACCCCACCTTAGATTTTACTATTGTTGTTTTGTATATAATACCCAACATCAGTACTACATATAATGCAGGTACAATTGCCAGCTCACCATCATTTGTAATAATATCGTATCACCCGACAACATCGTAATATTATCCCGTACAAAATGTAATATTAGATTATCATGTGATCATTACAGTTAGAAAGAGGAACTTTAGACCACTTCCATTTGCAGCAATACTCTAAAAGAAAATAGTGACATTTGAACACTAGTCACCACCTCTGTATAAATACAATAAGGCGGCCCTATTGCCAAAAGTAATTAAAGTGCATCGACACCTAGAAAAGATAAAGCAAAACAAACGTGTCGTCCGCACAGTGCTCTATTATACTTCATACCCACAGGTCTATTGCATCACGTAATATGATGTCCCACTAAACATCTCACCGTCACCGTCCCCTCATGAAACGAACATGCAGCGGCAACTACAATCATTACCGATTTTTTATTTCAACACGGAAATACGGAACGGGGAATGGGATTGTTAAAATAATCCCACTGCTAACAATGTATCACGCCAGAGGGACCTCCACGCGGCTCCCCCCAGAAACCATCGCGACAAATTAACACGAACCCACCACGACGGGCCAACCGATCCTATCCCCCCCGCTCATTCCACCATACTCCATCAGTGCCACGCCAGCGCAGGTAGTACACCATTATCATACATTAAAAATAATAAATCACGGATATACGTAAACATATTACTACAATGATTATTAATACGACTATTCCTACCAGCTAGAGACACTATAGGTATAGCAAGTACAATTTATAATTAGGTATCTACTTACTTGGCGCAAATCGATCGTAAACCGATGTTACCCAGCTATTGTTTTTTCTGTATAGGTCTATATAATTCGCTCCCCGTGCGGCCCCACCATAATCCTTCTAAATTTGTAATTACTCCGTACCCGTAGGTATATGTATATCTTATTAAATGATTTTGTACTTATCTTTATTTATATCCATTTTGCCTCGTCGCCACATATAGTGTTCACTTATTTGTTATTTATGTCTTCTTGTATGTAAGTTGTTATCGACGTAATATCGGCTCGTTAGCCATAGCTCCACGTCTTTACTCCGCGGCGCTTGCGCAGGGAATCCCTTCCCTCTTGCGCACGGCGGTTCGTGTACGCTCGGCTCGAGACGATAGATAATAAACTGCTAGTGTTTCCACATACACTACACTATCAATTGCTATTTTATTTAAAAACTGTTCTTTCTTTCGACCATATTTCGTATAGCGGTGACGAAAATGAGTTATGAAGGACTTCTGAATACTTGCGATAATTTTTGCTATATTCGCATCTGAAGATTCGGTAAAATTATTTCGTAGTTTGAGATAGAATCAACATAATTTGTATCACTTTAAATCAATAAGACACTTAAGTCGCGTCTGGTACACGAGAATTCACTCATTGGGGTGAGATGAGTAATTAACAATTATTTAGTAATAACAAATGCTTATGAAGAACTGTAATATTTCATATGCAAATACATACACTATTTTATACTTAATAATGGTCATATACGTGTGCAAAATTACTTGATAAAAAATATTTATCATTATGCGCTATAGAATAGGTTTGTATGGGAATGGGAACTATTTACTGTGTGAAATAATTGATAAAAGTAAGGCAAAAGATAAAATATATAGTAATAATTGAGCAAAAAGTATTTTTTTGAATATTCAGACAGAGATTCTTAAATAAAGAAAAAAATCTTAATATACGTACTCAGAAAAAACAAATCTCACCATGATATTATACTCGATTTAAATATTTTACGCAGTGAAACTGCAAAAAAAAATGTTATGCCATCAAATTACATTATATTTCCTAATAAATAAAACCAAATTTAGAACTTCGGCAAGCTTCGGCAACTGTCAAATCTCCAAGTGAAAGTCTGAGAAAAGAAAATAGTACATATAACGATATATGGATTTTTAGTTAAATAATATTCGACTAAACTAAATATATTTTTATTTTATAGTAAAGTACACATTCTAAGCATTCTAAAATGGTATCACACTATATGACTTGATATTATTTTGATACTATAAACTTATACCAAACAAATTTAAGTTACAAAATTATTTTTGCATTTTTTTCATTCCTTGACTTTAGAGGCTTTATTCTATGAAGTATGAATAGTCAGAGATTTGAATCATATTTATAATGATAGAGTAACTCTTTGGCTACAATTTGAGGTATTATACAAGCATATCCACGGAGTTTTAGAAAAAGTATTTATGAGATGGCTTTCTTAGGCGAGTTCCCACTGTGCGCCGCGCCGCGCTTACGAACATACAGCCTGACATCTCTTTATTGGTATTGGTTGCGGGCGTAGATACAGATGTTCCTAGTAATTAACTGGTACATTATTAAGACGACCACATTTGTCTAGCGGTTTAGCACGCCGCCATACTTCCGATGGTCGCGGGTTCGACTTCTCGCTGTGTACAGACATTTGTATTCATGAGTATAATTGTTTGTATCGGTGTGGCTGTTTAATGTCCTGAGTTATTATTATTATATTTTACTGTACTTGTTATATTCTGGTCATAATTACTTATTTTATCGCACTTGTGTTTGAGTGTATGCAATTATGTGTTGAAACAGAATGAAACTATAGTTTGGTCGAGCACGGAGGTAGTCTGAAAAAGTCAGCACGTGTAGGATGCAGATTAGGCAGTGAGACTGCAGGACAAGAAGCATTATGTCTAATGCTGTAATGTTATGCAACGTATGAGTGGTATCACGGATGTCACATGATAACGTGATGTCCGCTGTGCTGTTCATGTAGTCTGTATATAGTCAGTCGGCTACAGTGGTTTCAGCTACCATCAGGCGGGCCGTAGCATGTCGACTTGTTTGGCGTTCTACTTACAAAAACAAAATGTTGTGACTTAAATCATTCAGTCAGTCTAATAGGAGGTGAAAGAGTAATAAAACAACGTTGTCGTGGTATCAGTTTTATAATAATAATTTACAAAATTATGTACAATATATGTTTGTATGTGTTCCTCCTCGTGTGCTGCTCTCCTCCTCGGTGCACACACGACACAACACAACACAACACAACACATGCCCACTTACTACTACCCCCCACTTGTACCGTCTGGAGGGTCACACATGGAGTGGTGACGACATATAAAATACATTGTAACTATGTATATATTTACACCCGACCACACTTGACTTGGTTATAACTTATATGCCACACGCAGCGTGGGGAGGCCTCCAGCAAGGTGGACCGACGATCTGGTCAAGATCGCTGGAAGGCGATGGATGCGAGAAGCGCTGGACCGATCGTCGTGGAGGTCTTTGGGGGAGGCCTTTGTCCAGCAGTGGACAACATTTCACTTATAAGGACTGGGATACCTACAGTACACATCACTGAGATGGACTTACTAAAGTTGTTTGCGATGGCAGTGTTCTGTCATCAGGCAGTTTGCTTGCTACAGGGTACGAGGATACGACACCTGTTCATGGTATTTCCAAACCTATACCTTCAAGAAAAGTGCTTATGCCTTATTAAAGGCCGGCAACGCACTTGCAATTCCCTTTCCCCAGTTGTTGCGTGCTCGTGGGCGGCGGTAATCACTTACCATCAGGTGAGCCGCAAGCTCGCTTGTCACGCTATATATAACAAAATGTATACGTACGACCACCCACTGCACAACATGGCAGTCCACCGTCGCGCCCCCCACACTTACTTATTACTTATTGTGAGTTTCACTTTGTTGTGAGTTGTGGATTTGAAATATGTAAAATACAGTCTTACATTCACATTTAGTATTGAAAACTAACATCGCAACAGTTACAACAGTTCGGAGAGACCACTAATACTTACACACGTAACTATTTCCTTTATGACCCGGTGTCCGGATATATGTACTAACAATATCAATTAAGAGACGTGTGAAATCTGAATAAGCTATATTGATATTGAACAGAAATAAAATGTGAATGAATGTTTAAAGGTCACATTCAGGATTTGTGAGGTGTTCAATGAAGTTCACCTTCCATCGGGGAGTGGTTACAAATTTAATTACGAGTCACTATGTACTCGTACAAATAGTTATATTAATAAAATGTATCGTACAGAAAACAATGTATAATAAAGAATCATAGAGGGCAGTGACGATATGTAGTGGTGTACTCCGTCCAACGGAACTTATATATATACATATATAAGGAGTAAACAAACGGGCGTCACTGACCCGTCTGTGGATGACCAAACTCAGCACGAATCAAACACTGTAATGAGTGTACGTTATACTATATGTTGTTAAATGAATACTCATTCATTTAATACTCTCGAGAGTCGAATAAATGTGTCACCATTGTCATTGTTTATGTCATACTGTTGACGGTGAACTATTTATTTACTTTTTATGCGTGCTCTATTGGAACAGAGTATGGCGTCGTACACGAGTACATGAGTGGCAGCTAACGAGTAACATTTAAGTACACGGGGTGAGCTCGGTGACCGCTACACCTAATTCTTACTACGGCTACTAGTACCTACGTCCCGCGGCGGGGGTGGCGACGAGACACACTATCACACAAGTCGTTCGAACACACAACAATGTTTAATTTTTAACAAATTCAATAGAAAGTCATTAGCACTACTACACACAGCGAAGACGGTCAGGTCAGTACGCGGTTCATAAATTCGTTAAACTATCAGCACTAGTCGTGTGGCGCATCAGGTGTGGTTCCGGCTGTTGTAGGCGGGGGCGGCGGGGGGCGAGGCGGGGGGCGAGGCGGCGGCGCCCAGCAGCAGCGTGTGCGGCGGCGCGTCGTCGTCGCTGTCGGCGCACTCGAAGCGGATGTGGCGGCCGTCCCCGCGCCGCCCGCCCCCCCCGCCGCCGCCGCCGCGACCACCGCCTCCGCCTCCGCCTCCGCCTCCGCGTCCGCGTCCCGCCCGCCGCCCGCCGCCAGTCACACCTTGTCCTCGCCCGCGCCCGGCGCCGCCGACCGCACGAACTGCAACACGCGCATCTGTCACTCGGGCTCGTCGCGAGCCCCGCCCGCCGGCCTCCTCGCGGCGTACTCACCGAGACGGTCGTGTTGGTGGTGGAGTTGGCGCGCGGCCGGAACGTCAGCACCCGCCACCGCCGGCGCAGCTGCGCGAGCACCTCGCCGTTGCAGAAGCAGTACAGGACGGCGACGACGAGGCCCTGCAGCGACGTGGTGAGCGCGGACGCGAACTCGTACAGGAGCCACCAGCGGGCGGTATGCGCCGGCCGGAACGGCGTCAGCAGGTACTGCAGGCCCAGCAGCGGCGCCAGCAGGCACGTGGCCCGCAGCGCGTGCAGCGCCGTCGCGGAGGGCCGCGCCGCGCCGCCCGCGCCGCCGCCCACGCCGCCGCCGGCGCGCAGCTTGGTGCACAGCACGCGGACGATGTTGCACAGGAAGCCGAGGTTGAGCAGCACCGCGACGCACACGAGCACGGCCAGCTCGGGCCGCGGCGCGCCCTCGTCCATCCAGCAGAGGCGCTCGTCGGCGGCGAGGCGGCGCGCGGCGTGCACGGCCGCCGACGGCACCGGCAGCAGCCAGCCCGCCGCCAGCAGCGCGCGCACCAGCCGCCGCTCCGACACGAACGCGCTCACCAGCACCGTGTGCAGGTACAGCCCCTCGCACAGCATCCACGTGTAGTTGGTCAGCAGCGCGTACTGCAGCAGCGCGTTGAGCGCGCGGCACCAGGCCGGCGACGCGGCCAGCGTGTCGGGCGCGCGCACCACCAGCCCGTACCACGCCAGCCACATGGCGTTGTTCAGCGCGAACGACGCGAACAAGTTCATGTGCACGGTGATGCGCGCGCACCGCAGGCTCCTGCACACCACACCCGCACACATGAAACAAAATAGACATTTTATCATATTAGTTATAAAATGGAATTGATTTAATTTTGGAAACGTAAATCAAAATACTAAATATTGGTTGGAGTAATGTGTGAGAATTACACTTAAAAATCAGTTCCTAAGGTAAGTCAAGGTCACATGGGTACCAAAACCGATATGTGTATATTATTACAGCTAGTAATAGTCGATACAGCCCTTACTACAATTAATAAATTAATAAATATCAAAGAAACTTCATTCAACTGAACTCCTCGAGATATGTTAACCATTAAGTTTCTATACGCTTTATGCTTATAACCACAAATTCAGAATTATTAGTTTTGCTATATTGCTGGTTGTTATGCTCAGCGGGCCCGCGAAGAGTTATGCAGTAGTGAATGTAATGGAAGGTATCTTACTTGAAGTATGTGAGGATGCCCAGCGAGAGGAGCAGCGCCACCAGCGACACGCTGTAGCCGGCCTCGTACACGGCGATGATGTCGCTCACGTCCTGTCTCCACGTAACGTAAGTTAGTACGATTATAACACCACACCACTGACAACTGAACAAAACGACGCGACAGACAACTACGTTAGCAGACAAATACAGATAAGAAATTAACGGCTGCTGTCGTCAACCAACAGTATATTACATTTTCGTACATTATTCTACCTAAATTTGTTCGTGATCTGTAATCACAAACGCCGCGCGTACATCATTAATACGGCTTTGAACAAATTAAAAAAATTCACCAAAAATCAATCATTTATCAAAATCTGTTAGTTTCAAGCAATGAACATTGTTCTGGGAGCCGGATATGAACCCGCGACCAATTCATGGTCGTCACCTATACACGTGGCACAGACGGTGTCAGTGAGAACAAGTAATGTGTGTACGCACATCTTCGGGCTTGATGCAGGTGGTGTAATTGGACCAGGAGCGGTTGGTCTTCGGGTGCTTCCACCAGGTGCCGTCCTCGGTGCATTCTTTGTACGCGAACACTGTCAACCATCAAGTAATTCAATCATTACGTTTGGACGAGCCGCGTTATGTATGGTGGACATCGGCGCAGATGGCGTACTAACATTCAGGACTGAAGCCGATGACGAAGTCTGGGCAGTGGGCGTAGGCGGTGGTGTTGGCGGCGGTGTGGGGCCAGCACAGCCACGTGTCGAAGGTGCCCTCGCAGTAGGCGCCGGCGGGCGGCTCGCTGCCGTTGTTGAGGGCGGCGCACGCGGCCCCGTCCCGCGCGATCCGCTCCGGGTCCTCCATGGCGGCGCCCCGGCACCACTCGTGCGCTCCGCTTACACCGCCCTTCTCAGCACATCTTCCTACTCGTAGCCTGTAAATGAGATACAGAATAATGTTCATAACTTCATTTAAAACTAGAGTTTAGTGGTAAAAGGTTTAACATAGAATTTGGTCCTGTATGTACAAATGGAATACAGACATCACATCTTTGTAAAAATCCAAAGAATGAAGCAATGTAGAGGAAAGATGTTGTTCGTAGAGACGAAACACAACGTGACATATCTACATTCGCATTTTCCAATTAACAAAAAGTAATAATAAATAATGATCTTATATAGTCAATGATGATAGATACAAGAGTGATTATTGGTTGTTGACGATAATATTTTCGCAGCACTGTAGTGTACTGCTAAGTTACCAATAAATTACCTTAATGCGCAATACTACGTCCACTCTGCACAGCATGAACGAACTTAAAGGTTGTCCCATACCATATAAATGTGTTCACTCTCCTATATAGATTTATTATATAAATTTAAGATTTGGTAAAACTGACGAGAAACAAATAAAATACACAAATACATATACAACAAGTGGAAAAGCAATATAAAACGTCGTTGGTGGGCAGATAACTAGATAGTCCGTGATGCTCAGGCCAGGTACAGAAACACTACTTTAATAATATTTGCTTTGTATGTATGTTAATGCTCCAACTTCAATAGTCATGTTATAAGGACGTAACGTAAGGCTCTTTCATTATAGATGTTCATCGACGTAATAGACAAGGCAAATCCTATTTGGATTCGCATAATGGAGCGTTCTCAGATCGTCAGTGATCCCGTCGGTCAGGTCAACATACTGTTAAACACTAAGTTGTAGCGCGAACTCTTCATTATTTATTATTCATTGTGTTGGAGTATTATTGTCTGGAGAGAAACGAACAGAAATACACCTCGATAATATTATACATATATAGTATTGTAATCATCTATACATATAAATAAAATTGAAGTTTCTGTTTGTAATATATATTGAAATAATCGTTTATTACTACATGCATATTAATATAAATATGGTACATACACCAAAATAACATTTTTTACTATTTATGTCTGTCTGTCTGTATGTTCTGGCTAATCTCTGAAACTGCTAGACCGATTTTGACAGGACTTTTTTTGGCAGGTAGCTGTAATAAGGAGTAATTCAGGCTACTTTTATTTTAGAGAAATAAAATAAAATTCCACGTGGACGAAATCGCGGCTGCAGCTAGTGTAGTATAAAATTGTCATAGAATTTTGAATGAAATAAAATATATAGAGTATTGTATATTTAATTTAATTTCCAAGACATAAAATAGCGGCACGCGATCAAATTAAAAAAGAATCGTTTGAGGATAAGTAATAGGATGGGAGCGTGCAGGAGGAGGTGTGTACGAGCGGTGTACCAGGCGCGCCGTGCGTCGCGTCGCGTCGCTGGTGGCTCGGTGCGGCGGCGGCGGCGGCGGCCGCAGCGCCCGGGGCCTCGAGTTCATTTCCCTAATGCGGCTCGCTTATTAAATCTCTCGCTGTTCATTATTCGCCTTAAATGTAAATATTTAATCCCGCAGTTGGTGCTCCCATTCGACGGATAGCGATGTTATAATTTATTGTTTTATATCACCCTGTATATAACTATCAGATTATCAGATTGTGTACTGACTACTGAGGCAGCTGGCCGACTTTATTATATTATATATACAACTAACAGACCCGGCCACGGCATAAAATAATACTGCGATTATAAATTGAGATGTAAGCTATCCGATCTTTCAAGTCAGATTAAATTCCACACAATGTGCAAATCAAATATGCAATCGGTTCAGTAGTTTAGGAGTCCATCGCGGACAAACAACGTGACACGTAATTTTTATAAACATATACAGTATCCGCGTCCTCACGACCGGTGCTAGTTGACCATTGACCGGAATAAATATTCTAAATCCTTAGAACGATTTGATCACAACCGGTTTACAGAGATAGACTTCGTGAGTACCCTGCGTAAGTAGCCCCGTCTCACCTATTTCTAGTACCTTCTAGTAGGTCCCTTTAGATTATTTGACTGCTCCGTTATTTTATAAAGTTGGTAACTAACAAAATAATTCACTAGAAAATGAGATAGTGATATAAAATTTACATGCAGAAGATGCCGAAAGTGGCCTATATGATGTTTTTATTTGAATACTGATTGTAAGAAATACAACATCCTCCGGGGAAGCTCACCGCCTGCTACTTATCACGCTACGAACAAACCTAAACCAAACAAACACCGGACATTTACATAGCTAACAAGCAACAAGTACAGTTGACATCGGCCGACTGCTACGAAACAAATAACGAGTGCCGTGCGCCGCGCCGGAGTGGCCGAGGATTCAGTGGCGGCCGCTATATAGTAATAAATATAGATTATTTTTAATTAATGAGTTGAATACGTACAATACATACATACAATTGTGACAAGTAAAGGTGTCCCCTCCAGGAGAACTCTTCGACTGCAACAAATCGGGATCGGTGCGTGTGGTTTAAATCAAATCGAATCAAAACATATTTATTCATGTAGGTCTATTACAGACTCTTATGATATGTCAAATATACCGTCAGTACGGAATGATATGGAGTCAAGTCAATTACAAAAATATAAAGTTATTTTTAAACTCAATTAACGAGAATATACATTAGTGATCACCGGCAAATGCAATTGTATTTTTGAAGGACATTTTCAAAAGGAATTATTATGAATGCCCAAATAATTTGTTAATTGTTGTTTGTTCTAGGTTTCAGTTACTGAAAGTAATGAGTCACTGGTATGGTAGCTACGTCGTATGTTTATGACGTACGTACTGAGCGGCCGGTGTCGGCGCCGGCGCCGCTGCTATGGCGACGTAGTGGATACTGCGGTAGTACTGAACTAATAAATAAATGTGTTTGACGGCCACGACGCCGCACATATGGCGCGCACATCACTCTGTTATTACATTATTATGTTTATATCACAGTGATCACAGCAGATAACATAAAGTTCATATTGAATGGACTCAGGACAGGCCGTATATGAACACAATTATCTACCTCACATATACCCAGGTAATGCTGCGGATGTTTACACGCTTCGGTATATTACTACTATGTACATACAATTCTCGTGTCACAATGACTCTGAAACGGCTGGGCCGATTTTTATGAAATATGTGTCATTAAAAAATACATACAACCCTAAATTTTCACCCTTCTACCATCAACTCCTATATTTTTTTAGCGATTTTAATTTAGCCGGCTAGCTACTACTATAAATAACAACAGAAAAATATCCTACTAGTTAACAATTCCCTTCAGTAAATTCTGTTTAATTTATTCAATGTACATATTATTTTACCAAAATTGGCTTCTATATCTAATTTATCGTGAAATTGTGACATCTTTTCTCGTGAGATAATTAGATTATTGTTAATTTTTCGCGTTGGCTGCCGCCCCCGCCGCCCCCGCCCCCCGCCGCTGTACAGGTGACTGATAATACAATTAGTGCGTTCATTAAGAAGCTCTGCTCTTAAAAGTGTCGCCGCCATACATCTACTTCGTACGAATTCATCTACTAACGAAATTCATCACTGTCCGCTCGAATATAATTACATTATAAGCATTCTCTTTGTTGTGACAGCGCAACAATACAATGTCTCAATTGTCTGAAATACCACGAGCAGAAGCAGAAGCAGAAGCAGAAACAATACACCAGATATACAAGAGAAACAAATAAAATTGATGGGCGGGCGGCTTCAGGACAGAGAGTAGTAATACCGCGTGCGAGCGCTCGCAGCGTGACAATGTCCGTCACGTCGTCAACTATGTCATAAACTCGTCACGGCGCGGCGCGGCGCGGCGCGGCGGCGGACCGTTACTTTTATGAGCTACGCGTATATATGACGGGTCATTGGAGCAACCGGGGAGGGACGCGGGACTGTAGGGTCGCAGGGTCGCGTGTAGTACCTCTTAACTCTTGTACGTCCACAATAAATGTTCCAATATTGTTTTGAGGTTGACCCGCGCGGATGGGGTCGTTTTTCTTACCAATTTCAGCCGCCAGTTTACTTTGGTGGGGTAATGACAACGCGTAAGTGGTATCACCAGCGTCACGTGATCACAACGATGTCCGCAGTGCTGTTAATGTATATAAGCGACATCACTTAGTGACTCGTCAGCATTTTTGCAAATTAAAATCAAAATAGCGGCCAGTATAATGATCAAGTTTGTTAACAAATCTTGGAGCACCACGATTTGTACTCTTTTTATAACTGAACTAGGTACGTTTTAATAAACCAACTCGTATATGGCTTTATGGAAATTATTTTATACTTTTGCAATGCTGGCTGTGTACTATGTACGGTAGACAGTTCAGAATGGAGATATTAAAATGACTGAGGGTTAAATAAATAATTTGAAGTTTGCGTTACTCGCTAACAAAATACTGCAAGTTATGTATTAATGTTGCATTAAGGGTAAAGTGTTTGATGCAAGTCTACATGGAAAAACTAATTTAATAATATTTAAAATAGATAAAGTGAAAATTATAATAAATAAATCATATTGGAGTTCTGTTAGCTTATGCTTCAAGTTGATAATAAGTGTCACTGTGTAAGTACATGACGTGGTACTTTTTTGTTATATAGTTGAGGCACGAGTTATATAGTGGTGGCAGCTGCAGTGTAGCGGGCATATGATTATGAGTATATAGTGAGTATGAGTAGTACGGGGAGTGAGTGAGTATGAAGTATGAACACAACACAACAATGACAACGACAACTGTGGCGGCCGAGCATGTCGCCCGCCACAGTTATCCTTTGAGCTCGCAACAAAGAGAGCGAACACTTTAAATATTTCCCTAAAAATGTTCAAAGTAAACTCATTACTGTCGCAGCCACCTCGTGACCCCGCCGCGGGGAAGACGATGGGAGGGGGGGGGGGGGGGGGGGCGAGCAGTACTGACGGCCGTCCAGGTGAGTGAACCAATTACATTGGTAATTAATTCGTCGATATTCATTATGAGCAGGAAGTGAGTGTGCCCCCGGTGACGTCACGTCCGCGCCGCGCCGGACCAGGCCGCCGACGTTGCGCAGCCAATGAGTACATACCTAATGTGAGCAGACGTCCCGTTTTGAATGGGACAGTCCCTTTTTATAAATACGAGTCCCGGTGTCCCCGAAATGAACTCTGGGACGCAAAATCGTCTCGTTTTCGGTAACCGTGGAAATTTTAAGTAGACGAGCCGGCTGTTGGTGGTTGGCAATTAAGGTGAGTATAAAAAAAACGTCACATGTATGACTAAGCAAAATATTTAATTATATTTATCAGGTATATTTTTAATTCTTAACTTTTAAGCTATTTTTTTGAATATATAATCCCATCAAAAACATAAGTGTGAAATGATAGCCGAGTTTAATATTATGATATATGCCTTGATTGTTAACTTCTACGACAAAAGAGGTGAGATCTAAATGGGTGCCAAGTTCAATGGTCTGTCCTGAAATGTATTTATAACAATATATAATATCATTTCTTCTTATAACTTAGGATAATATACTATAGCCTAAGTTCTAACTTGGCCAGTTCTGGTCAGTTCTTTAAACGCGAGCGCCGTCTCAATGTTGTTAACATTGAGACGGCGCTCGCGCTTATGAGGGCGGCTGCCATTCGCTCGGACAGGTTCGCGTCAACGTTTTATCGCACCGCTCCCACACGGCGCCCTATACCGAAATGCCTATTATTTAATAATTATTTATAAAAATAATGATCTTACACTATCGATGTGCGCTAAACATTGAAACAATAATTAATACCAAATCTCAGTTAATAACATAATAAATACGAAATTCGACTATACTCCTAGTTATAAGTACGAGTATATTTTAGACAGAATCTAAATTATAGCAACTAGTGTTTACCGCTCAATGCAATATTTGAAGTTTGCTAGTTATCGACACTGATGTGAAGGGGTTAACGTAAATTGGTAAAGATCGACGTTTTCATACAATATTACTTTCCGTCCAGTACAAGATGAGCTATTTTTGCCAGGGATCAATGTTCATTGCTGGCTATCGACGTTTTCATAGAATTTTAGTATTCGTCCAATATAAGTTGAAATAGAATCAATTAAAGTGAAAAATTATAATAAAATGATAACAATTTACCAATTTTCATTTTTTCCTTTATGTTCACCTAATTACCTATCTGCATGCCAAATTTGAACTTCCTAGGTCATCTGGAAGTGGGTTATAATTTTGATCTATAGTTGATCAGTGATAAAAATGACGATATTTGGACGTTAAAATCTAAATAACCGTTTAAGATATATTTATGAAATTTGGAACACATATTTATCTCACAAGTCTCAATATATGAACCAAATTTGACAGGTTTATGTGAAAGAGTTTTTGAGTTATGAGGGGGTCAAAAGTGGCTCCAAATGGTTCGTGTAAATATACACACGGTGCTACTCGCCAGTTGTCTTACTTGAAACTCGGCTTGACACGCTACCGCGTGTCTAGATTAAAATGAAAAAGAGTTTTTTGCATTGATCGCTATCTGATAATTTACTTAAATAAATTGATGTACAACTTCGGTACATCAGTTTATATAAGTAAATTATCAGATTCACCAACCCCTATTTTTTAATAATGATATTAATTTATATAGCAAAACAATGTTTGCCGGGTCAGCTAGTATAATATATAAAAGGTATAGTATATACTTGCCTGGCGTGTAGTTACTGGTGTGTGTGTAGGTACACTGACGCCGCTCTACTCGTTTATTTGCTTTGGACGTCTGAAACAAAACAGTGGCAACATTATTACATGTTGATAGGCGAACATATAAATCACAATTCATAAACAGCGCGCTATTAAAACTTAAGCCGTATATCAGCGCGGGCGGCGCGGCGGGCGGCCCCAACAAGTGTGACGTCACGCGGCGGGCTCTCCTTCATCTCAGATCACACAGTGTGCTGAAGGGATTTTATGCCGTTCATAATACTACACGCGCTTACGGGAAATATAAATCATAAGTTGCGGCGTGTGCGGCACTTTGATCATATACTCAGGTAAATGAAACGAGTGCACTGCGTGTACACTTCACCCTGGGGCTGGTGGGCTAATTATCTTCTTCTTCGATCGCAGCGACTGTCGTCTGTAACGTTGTGAACATGACGTCATCTGTCAGTAATGAGATTCCACGCTGTCAACTAGCATCGCAACGTAAACAGAACAAGAAATATCTACTACATATGTGGTATTTTAAATGATTTTATATTGCATGACAACTTTAACAGAATAGATCTCTTATAGTGTTTCGTGATGAGCCCACGGGTGTGATGTGATGATACCGTCATTAATATTGAGAGAGTAGTCAATAAAGTTTTAGATAAATAAATTAGTATTATAGAACGTTATGATGGGTTTTTATATAATAAACAAATAAATAAATAATCTCAGGACAATTCACACAGTACCATCTAGTCCTAAGTTAAGCTAGCTAAAGCTTGTGTTATGGGTACTAGACAACTGATACAAATACATAGATAACACCCAAACCGATACAAACAATCACACTCATGAATACATATGTTTGTGCCGCGGCCGTGCGAGGAATCGAACCCGCGACCATCGGAAGTAAGGCGGTGTGCTAAACCGCTAGACCACCGAGGCTGCCATATGTACAATAATAGAGAGCTTTCTTATATCTTTATAATTTTAATTATTAGAAAATATACAATGCAGAGCTTACACAGACTCGTGGTGTGACGCGCCATTGACCAAAGCAGAGAGGGAGGCACAGAGCACACAAACATAATGCTATAATTCTACCACAGATAACACTTTTACATGACAGTTCGTAACAAAGAATAATTGGAAATAATAACTTGTAACATACAAACGAACAATTGTCAACAATTAAGTCGTATTAAGAATGTTTTAATTAAAATAACAGAGTATGATAACTATTGCAGATATCCCATACATTACTAAGTGGCTGTGGGTGGTGCTGCCTCATTAAAAGATTTTGACTTTAGCTTTGATTTTTACACGGACCAATTTTTCTAAGGTTGACAATGGAATAGTGCATCCTGCGCTAACGGTTTACGCTGGCGGGGCACCAGTAAAGGATGATAAGATGAGCATGAGGTCAGGTCAGTTAGCCCATCGTGACAAATTCACCAGGAATTTATCACGACAGTTTCCAGGGGGAACCGCGTGGAGGTCAACCTGACATGGTACATTGCTAGCAATGGGGTCATGAGTCCGCATCAACAATTCCCTTCCCCCTACATGGACCAGTTACCTACATGAATCCCTGAACAGTCAGTCAACACAAATGGTGAGAATACATTTTATTAAAATGAACACGGGTGCGTGGGCGGCCGTGACCACCTGAACGGTAACAAAACGTAAGGAGTTTTGTGTGTAATGTGTATACACCGCGGCAAACATACGTAAACACCAAACTGCAAACAGTAGCTGTATGTATGTAGTAGCCACAACGCACAACAACACGTGCACGGGGTAAATATTCTCACTGTACACAATAATAGTTAATAATTTTTTTATCGGACTACTCTAATACTGTTGGCCTTTACAGCTTCACCAGACGATAGGGGGCGAGTGCAGATGGCACTCCAAACCAGAGGAAGGACTTATGGAGCGGCTGAAGGACAACTAATTAATAAATATTTCAAAATTTAATTTAATTGTGTCGTATTTATTCGCTTCATTTTTATTAATTACATAGAATTTATATAATATTTATTACCTACTTATTAATATTTGTATCCAGGAAACGCTCATTTGTAAATGGCGAGCTGTTGTATGGTGGATGACATCTGCCTCTCACTCTACTACATCATGACCATAACCGTTCAGACAGGAGCGTGCCGAATGAGAAGAAATATCAAATTATTGTATAACATATTTTAACAAATAAATTAAAAATGAAATACAAATACATTAGTATTAGGAATATACCAATAAACATAAAAAATATTTTGGTAAGTAATTATATGTCTTTATTAATTTTAAGAATTGTTACGATTACTTTGTAATCCCCCATTACTGACATGTTTAAAAACAGAAACCCTCAAAAAATGTAGATTAAAAAAATTTGCATGTACTGGGTTCCAAACTGGTGACCTAAGTGGCGGAGCCCCGGCGCGTTCACCAAGCGACTGATGGCGGCCGCGCCGCGCCGTGTCCGGGGTACGATCATCTCCGAAGCAGGCGAGTCGCCACCGAGTCGGTGCCGGCGCGGCGGAGCGGCGGAGCGACGGAGCGACGCTAACGGAAATTGACTTGCTTCCTTACACTTTTTCAAACAAAACACTTTTTAAAACATTTCCTTAGATTTTATATACAAATAGGATTGTAGAAGAATGGGTTATAAATGCAATTAATTAATATTTAAACCGGAAATCAAGTGGAAAATATTAAATAATAAATAGAGCATCATCGCACAACATTCGAGTCTGAATTACTAATTTAATGACCCAATGATGAGTGATGAGTTTAAGACAAAAGGTGATTGCATTGAGTAATGCGTGTACAATTATAGATCTACTGTAGTGACGTGGGTACGACTGGATGTGCACACAATACGAAACTATGGTAATGTGTGTCTGTTTATTTAAAGGGTTTATTGTGTAATATACATTAACTAGCTACTCGCCCCGACTTCGCACGGATGTACATGTATTATATATACAAACCTTCTTCTAGAATCACTCTATCTATTAAAAAAACCGCTTCAAAATCCGTCGCGTAGTTTTAAAGATTTAAGCATACATAGGGAAAATATAATAATCAGATATTAATCACTATTACATAGTATAAAACAAAGTCGCTGTCGCTGTCCGTCCCTATGTATGCTTAGATCTTTAAAACTACGCAACGGATTTTGAAGCGGTTTTTTTAATAGATAGAGTGATTATCTATTAAAAAACCGCTTCAAATGATGATAGAATATCTATTAATATTCTAGAAGAAGATTTATATATATATAATACATGTACACCCGGGCCAAGCCGGGACGAGTAGAGTGGTAATATTGGGATGTTTGTTACGCTTTCACACAGAAACTACTGAACCTATCATTATGAATTTTGTACACAATGTTCTTGAAGGTATTAGAACTTACATAGGATATTTTTTATTAAAAAAAAACAAATATTTTTTTAATGGATTCAATGCGAGCGAATTCGCGGGTAAAATGTAGTAAATTATAAATAACCATCAGCTGCTGTACACATCAGACTCTGATTACACAACCAATGAATAACACCTACATACGTGCGGTTACTAATATGGTGAGTAGTAATAGTAATGAAGCATTTTTATGATCAACTAGCTTTAGCTCGCGGCTTCGCTAGCTTTAATTAGGGGTGAAATTCGTCAAAATCCTTTCTTAGGAGATGCCTACATCATAGTAGCTTTATGCATGCAAAGTCTCAGCCCGATCGGTTTAAAATTGACAAAGTTTCATACAAACTATCATACCCTATTTTATCCCCTTGGGGGTAGAATTAATCAAAATCCTTTCTTAGCGGATGCCTACGTCATAACATCTACCTGCATGCCAAATTTCAGCCCGATCCGTCCAGTGGTTTGGGCTGTGCGTTGATAGATCACCATGTCACTCACCTTTGAGTTATATATACTTAGATTGAAAATATATCAAATTATTCTCCTGTTCTCCTACCAGCCTGTGTTCCCGAGATTTCGTCCGCGTATCACTCATTAACCAGAATATAAAACCTATTTCCTGCTTAACTCTATACAGACCAAATAATTTATAGGAAACTTCATGTTTTGTTAAGGCCTGGAAGCATAGTAGACAAGTAAAACTGAATTTTCGAATTTAAAATATGTTATTACGTTAGGGCTACCAACCGTCCTGTTTTCCCGGCACACATCCCAGTTTTTCAAGTGTCCTACGAAGTCCTGAATAGTTATTTGTCAGCGTCCTGGGTTTTTAAAATACTCGAGCCTCTTAATTACTGATTGTCAACAGTATAATTGTATCAAATAATTTTTATTAATAACCTGATTATATTAATTACTTGAATTTTACTACATTTTAATATAACTATTGCAACACTATCACTGCGTTCTGTTTATAAACTGGATACTCCTGGTTTTCTGAACTTTCGTTTAGTTTTTTTTTTAATTTGGTCTTGGCAACCCTATATTACATGCGATACTGCTACGACCGCGAATACAGTTATGATAGTGTTAGTAGAGGCTTTATTATTTTTATTACCTACAAATAGTACACAAGAAAACTAATAAATAAGGAGAAACTTGTAATGAGTGGTGTTTATTCCATCACCATCCATCACCTCGACCGCCCACTTACTTCATAGTGAGGTTTATCGATCAAATATAAAATTGTTTGTAATTGTCTAGTAATGAACACGTTCCAACACGCCGCTAGTTGCATGACTGATGACTGATGACTGACGTGACCTTCATTTGCATTACATATTCTTTAATTTATATCACGAGGCGCCAAAATCGATATGACTATAGCCTCGGTTGCTACTCGCGTTCTAAGTGTTAGCAATCTTCCTATTAAAATGGTAATTACCACTCGATATTCGAGCTCCTGGAGGTGTCCTTAGACTAAAACATATATGCGTTAGGCAGTACTTACCCTCCAGTTCAATCTAGTTTTCAAGCAGTGATGCTGTAAAGCGCAGACAGGGCCAACAACATTAGAATAGTTCTAAAAAAAGGATCACAACGTGTATGTTGCTTTGTAAATTCCTAAATCGAAAAAAT